AAAAAAAAAAAAAACAAAAAACAACTATTATGTGAATGAACAATTGGCTGGGCACCACCAGGCCCACACCTGCCAGGTCCTCTTGGAGCTGTACTACCCTCCTTTACCCCAATCCCACAATGTCCACTGGCACATCCAGCTTCCCCATCTATTCAGCTAACACTCTTGAATCAGTGCCAGCGAGGACCTGAGCCCCACCTTTGTGCAGGGCCTCGTTAGTCATCCTGTTGACATATCGGCCACTGCTCTCAGGCACCAACCACTTCATGACCATGTCCACGCAGCTCTTGCGGTAGGAGCTCCACACACTGCCGCTGAGGGGTAAGGGAGTAAGTGGATCTCATGGCCCTAACTACTCCCCCAACCCCGCCACCTGGTCCCACCTCACCTTGTCTGCCCTTTGACCTCAGTGAGGTCACCCACGCTGACTGTCTCAAAGATGCCTGTGTTGAGGTCCCATGCCACCTTCAGGCTGGTATGATAGGTCTTTGGTCTGCAGTGGGGAAGGAGCCAGACAAAGAAGGGCTGGGACTACTAAGTCCCTGAGCCAGGAAGAACCCAAGGCACCTTAAGGACCTTCTTCTTTGGAGAAGCAATGGAGAGCCCATCCAGGTTCTGACACAAGGAGAAACCTCACGTCTTCGCTCCCCTACACTAAAGAGTCTGAATGTGGCCCCTCCTGGGAGAGGGGGAGTGGGGTCCCTGCCCACTCACCGGAGCTGGCCCTCCTCAGTGGGGGACGGGAATGCTAGGAGCAGCAGGCCAATGTTGATAAGGACCTGGTTAGTTTCTGGGCAGACCTGGGAGGTGGAAGAGGATTAATCCAGCTGGTGAGGGTGACCTTAAGATGCAGGAGGCCATGGGCCCACCCTGCCCAGCCTTGGGCCCACCTCAAGAATGACTATGTCATAATCACTGAAAGAGCAGAACTGGTGGCCCCAGGTGGCATCATGGCGGATGACTTCGTTGATAACATACTCAAAGTCCAGCGTGAGCTGTTCCACCGTAAGGTACTGGCCCTATGAGCAGGTGGGCACAGAGGCAGGGGGAAGAATCATGCCAACTATACCCAGCAAGCTCCCTTGGTCTGTCACTCAGCCTGCCTGGCACCTACCTGGACAGTGGTCCGTTCCCGCATGGGCCGTAGGTTGCGGCCACGGAGATCAGTTACCACGAAGGGCAGGGAGATCTTGTCATCCTCAAACTCTGGGGAAGCAGGAAGTGGGGGTAGAGGTGGTGGGTAGCCCAGGGGTACCCTCCCAGCTGAAACCCCTCCCTATTGCTGGTGGACTCCCTGCTCACCATCCTCCGGCTCTGTCCCTTCTCCAGACTCCAGCACATAGTATAGCTTGGTATAGTTGACATACCCAGGTTCAGGGGCAGGGGCTTCTGCTACAGGGGGGCTGTCCCGGGGTGCTGCCTCCCCACATGGGGCCAGGGACTCAGAGGGTGCACGGCAGCGGCTGCCTGAGGGACCTGCATAGGAGAGTGGGTGGGCTTCCTCCAGGGCCCCACCCTTGGCCTCTTTGGCCCTGCGGAAGATGTCAGCCACAAACTCCTTAGCTTTGGCAATGGCAGGTGAGGAGTCTAGGGCTCCAGAGGGCCGGGCTGGAGCCACTTCAGGGCAGAGGCTGGAGAGGGTAGGGGGCAGCTCTGGACTCTGGGGCTCAGGCAGGCTGGGAGGCACTGGGGGGCAGGTCGTGTGATCATACAGGATTTGGCAAAAGCTGCTATCACCTGGAAAAAGGAAAATGATGGAGGTAGGAGGAAGATCAGCAGACTAATTCACATCCAAGACACACTCCCAACTAACCTCATGCCCTGGGGCTCTTAAAATCCACTTTGAGACTTCTTTGCTCACTTGCCCTGGCAATGGGGTTCCATTCCCTGTCTATGGCAAATTTACACTGCTTTATAAGCTTTCTTACTCTGTAAGGCAATCTCTCTCTTATTCAATAAACTGTTTCATTCTTGCCTTAAAAAAAAAGAAATCCACTTTGAGGAGACTGTCCAGACTTACCTATGTCTGAGAGATCTCTTTGAAACACCCAGGAGGGAAAAAGACCTTTAAATGCAAACATACCATGCATACAGGTATGTGCACAGACACGTTCACTAAAACCCCCACACCAAGGCCACAGGAGTGGAGGGTAGACAAAACCCCTGCCACGGGAAGCTGAGGTCCTACAGTAAAGATAAACAGAAGCCACATAAGTAAGGGTGTTTCCTACATAGCCCTCTTCTTTCTGGCACAAACCAGGCAACCGTGCACAGACTGGCTAGTCCAGAATCTCCACCTGTCTAGAGACCAAACTCCTCTCTGAGGAACATGGGAGTCACATAGAGAACCCCAACATGTTCATAAGCAGCTGTGGAGCTGGGACTCATGCCAGGCCTCCTATAAGCCCCACACAAGCAACCCCGGGAGAGGGAACCCATGTCCTCCAGACTTTGGCTCAGAGAGGGATTTATCCAAGGTTACAACATGAGATAAAGCAACTCCAGGCTCCTGTCCACCATGAGTGCTGGCCCTTATAGGGCGGGAAGAGGCATGAAAATTGAAAATGATCAAGGAAAAAAAAGCTGCCTTCTGTATAAATAACCTCCCATGCATGGTGATTTAACACCAATGATCACACCCTTTCCCTGGGTGGGGGCTGTGGTCCTTCCTAACAGGACACAGGAGTGAGGGCAGAGATGCCTCAATCCTGACCAGGTCCCACAGGCTGAGGGTTCATGGTCAAACCCAGGGTGACCAAGTCTTGGCAAGAGGTAATACCTCACTTGCACTGGCACAGGTAAGGGGCAGGAACAAGGTATCCTGCTTGGCTCCTTGCTTAAGGGCTGAGTTACATATATTTGTAACTCTACCTGTTCACTTCCCTCTACTAGGGGCAAGCATTTTAATGGCTACTTAATAGATATCAGTATCTTTTTTTTCCTTTGGAGAGAAGAGCCTGTGGCCCTGGGTAGAGTACTGTGATGTCATCACAGAAACCTAAAACTTCTGGGCTCAAGCAATCCTCCTGTCTCAGCCTCCCAAGTAGCTAGGACTACAGGTGCCTGCCACAATGCCTAATTTTTTTTTTTTTTTTCAGAGACTCAGTCTCACTTTGTCATCCCTTGGTAGAGTGCCAGGGCGAGATAGCTCACAGAAACCTCAAACTCTTGGGCTCAAGTGATCCTCTTGCCTCAGCCTCCCAAATAGCTGGAACTACAGGTGCCCGCCACAACACCCGGGTATTTTCTTTTTTGAGACAGAGTTTCACTTATTAACCCTCGGTAGAGTGCCATGAAGTTGCAGTTACAGCAACCTCCCAACTCTTTGGGCTTAGGTGATTCTCTTGCCTCAGCCTCCCAAGTAGCTGGGACTACAGGCACCTGCTACAACACCCAGCTATTTTTTTTGTTGCAGTTAGGCGGGGCTGGGTTTGAACCTATCACCCTCGGTATGTGGGGCTAGCGCCCTACTCACTGAGCCACAGGCACCGCCCACACCCAAGTATTTTTTAGAGACAGGGTCTCACACTTGCTCAGGCTGGTCTCAAACCTGTGAGCTCAGGGCAATCCACACACCTTGGCCTCTCTGAGTGCTAGGATTACAGGCATGAGCCACACACCTGGCCTTAATGGGTCTTTTTATTTGTTTGAATCTTCCAAAATGAAAACATATTTTTAATTTATACATAAGTAGTATCCAGATATAGATTTCCTATATGTGTACATGTCTTTGACACATGCTCTGTGGACATACCCTCTGGGGCTCTAGAGGATGCCTCCTACCTGTAGGCTCCTACCTCCCTGATGCTCAGAAATAGATGCCAGGCAGCCTCTGACTCCCACTCAATAGCCTTGGGATGTGTCCCTTACAGACTCAGTGAAAGTCTCTCAGAGTGAGAGATCTGAGCATTCTGTCACTGGGTTACTATCACAATTCCATTGCCAAGTGGCCTCAAAGGCCCCTTCCCAGAAGCAATATCCACTGTCCAAAGATTTATCATGGTTAAGGGGCATCTTATGATTTTCACTGGCATTTCTCCAATATCAAAGATGTAAGACAGCCGTCTGCCCACTAACCATTCCACAAGATGTCTCCATTAGCACTTTTCTTTTTAAGAGAAAGTAGCACTTTGCTGCCCAGCACAGTGGCTGCCAGCCACATGTGGCTACTTCAACCTAAAATAACTAAAATTAAAGCTCAGTTCCTCAGTCACATGAACCACATTCCAAGTGGCTGCTAGAAGCAGCTGTGGTGGGCAACATGGATATGGGACATCTGAGCCCCTCGGCAAGTTCTAATGCACAATTCTGTGGTAGGTGGGACATGGCTACATTCAGACCCCAGCATTCCCACTTCCTGGCTGTGTGACTTTGGGCAAGAGGCTTCACTTCTCTGTGCCTTGGTCTCTTATACTATATCACGAAATTGAAACAGGACCAGTCTCGTGGCACTGCTGTGTGGAGTCAGTGGATAATATGCCCAGCCTTGTAAGCTGGTCCTGGGCCTATCCTCAGACCCAGGAGACCTACCTGCCGAGTGGACAGAGACAGCACAGGCCACCAGGGAGTAGCTGGTATTGAGTAGCACCACTTGGTCCTTCTTGAGCTGGAAGGCAGGCTGGAAGGTGGGGAAGGGGTAGACCACCTGGTACTTCGTGTGCAGCATAAAGCCGTGCCGCAGGCACTGTGCACTCGGGTCGCCTGCAGCAACACACACCACAGCAGCTCACCTGCAGCCCCAGGGCTGGGGGCAGGTGGCCCATACCCACAAGGTCCCCAGCCCCCTCACCTGGGTGGGCCCGGCTGGCATCCTGGCAGGCAGCACAGCGGCCCGTTGGCGGCACAGCCACAGTGCTGATATAGATGTCTCGGTGGTTCTCGTCACTCATCATCATCATGTTCATGAGCATCCCGTTGGCTGAGCGGGTGCTGGAGGTCAGAACACCCTTAGCCACCTGGCCCATACTTGGGGAAGGCAGCAACCCTCCCCTACCCATCCACAGCCTCCCTGTCCCTAGGTCTCACTTAAAGCCAAAGACGATGACCTTGGAGGCATCACTGGGCCACTCACACACTGTCAGATATAGGTCACTGTAGATCTCCTCATCTTGGAAGAGCCGGACCTGCCGGACCTGAGAGGCATGTTCAGGGTCAGTCCAGGGTCAGGAGCACCCCAAACCCAAGGCTGTACAATGCTGGGCTGGAATGTGGGCCAGAACTGGACTAGCAGAAGTGCCATAGGGAGATCCTGCTAGACCCCTCAGCTTTGCCTGAGGCAGGCAGGGGAAGATAGGCCTAAATGAAACACAGCCAATGGGAGGCCTGTCCCAGCAGAGGTGATTTGGCCAGATATACTGGTTCTAAGCCCAGCCTATCCTGAAAACTGCCATCTAAGCAAACAGCACCTACCTCTGATGGGGGTTTATGGAGGCAAGGGTCAAGGTTAAAGCCAGAATGGCAGACTGTGTAGCCCTGACAGAGCTAACACGTCCCACCTGGTCTGAGACATTGATGTTCTACGGCAGTGGTTCTCAACCTGTGGGTTTCAACCCACAGGAACTGTGTTAAAGGCTTGCAGCATTAGGAAGGTTGAGAACCACTGTTCTATGGGGTTTATATGCTATGTTGAACCAAACAGAATGGCCATTATTTACTTATTTTGAAGCATAAAAGTGGTAATCTCACTCTGGGAGGCTGAGTTGGGAGGGTCACTTAAGCTCAGGAGTTTTGAGACCAGCCTGAGCAAGACCGGCCCCATCTCTATAAAAAAAAATTTAGGCTTGGCGCCTGTGGCTCAAGTGGCTAAGGGGCCAGCCACGTACACCTAAGGTGGCGGGTTCAAATCTAGCCTGGGCCCGCCAAACAATAATGGCTGCAACCAAAAAATAGCCGGGCATTGTGGCAGGCACCTATGGTCCTAGCTACTTGGGAGGCGGAGGCAGGAGACTTGCTTGAGCCCAGGAGTTGGAGTTTGCTGTGAGCAGTGAAGCATGGCATTCTACCCAGGGGGACAGCTTGAGGCTCTGTCTCAAAAAAAAAAAAAAAAGAAAATTTAGCCAGGTGCAGTGGTCAATGCCTGTAGCCCCTACTACTCAGAAGGCTGAGGCAGGAGGATCCTTTGAATCCAGAAGTTTGAGGTTGCTATGAGCTATGACACCACTGTACTCCAGCTGGGTTGAGAGAGTTAAGATCAATTTCATATGGTTCAACCTCACACATGGAATCTAGGCAAAGACCTCACGAGTGAATACATTATGGCCATTTAACATACAAGGTATCTGAGGCTCAGAGGGGTGCTGTGACCTGCCAGGTCATGCTGTCTGAAGGGCAGCCTGGCAGTGGAGCCTCCCCATAGGGAGGGCGTGACCCTACCAGCTTGAGCTTGCTGTGGACGTTGAACTCCCACCAGTACAGGTGGTAGATATAGAAGGAAAAGTCGTCATCCCCGCTGCTGCTGGTGTAGGAGAGGACGTAGCGGCCACATTTGGAAAAACCCAGGAAGATGTGTCTGTGAGGATGGAAGGGGCCCAGGGCCCAGGTCAGGATGAGCCCACTGCTCCCGCCCAGCTGCACCCCCAACAACCCAGCCCCAGCCTTACCCTGCATAGAGAAAGTCCTCATCTACAATGTTCTTGAGAGACACGCAGACTCGGGGCGGCAGCTTCCGGAAGAGGCGAGGGGAAAGCTGCCCACTTATCTGGGAAAGGGGCAACCAGAACTCTTCAGGCACCATCTACAGCCCCCAGGCCCCTCACCCAAGGCAGAGAGGCAGAGCAGCACCCAGGGACCAGCCCAACCACACAGGCCCACTCCCTGGGTCACCATAACGGTCCGGGGTAAACCAAACTCTGGGAGGTAAGAACATCTGGGGATGGAGGAGCTGGCTGGACCTTGCTTGAGCTTCCATCTCCACCAGAGACCCATGCCAGCCTCCCATCTCCACACCTCTTCAGCCTCTGGTCTCTCCTGCCTGAGTCCAGTGTGACCTCCCCCAGTAAGGTCCTCAGTCACCCTGGCCCATGCTGGGCCACCTAGCTCCCTACCTAAAGGCTATCCCATGGTGCACTAAGTTGTAAATGTCCATTCCACGGAGGAAAATGGGATAGGGGCCCAAATGACACTCACCTGTTTCCAACTCCTCAACCTACAAACAAGGGGGCTTAGGCTCCTTGGAACAGCCCTATTCTCAGCTAAGGGCCAGTTGAGGCAAATAGAATGGTGAGCCTAACTAATAACCCAAAACTCCTGCCTGATTCTCTCTTCCCAATTAACTGACACCTTCTAACTAACTCCCTCGTCCAAAAGAGTATCACCAAGGAAGGATTTGAGGGCATAAACAAGCAGAAACTAGGCACTAAGGGATCAGAGCACCCTCAATCTTGCTATCCAGGCTAATGGGAGACAAGTTCTGCCTTCAAGAGATTCCAATCTGATGGGAAAGAGCCCTGTCTGGGGAGCTCCCTGACTGATGGGAGAAACAGCCTTGCCCTCAAAGAGATTCCAGTCTGATGGAGGGAAACAGCCCTGTCAGCCCAGCCCAGGTTGAAAGGAGAGACATAATCTCTGCCCAAGGAGCGTCCAAGATAAGGGCGGAGTCAAAGCCAAGCCCAGGGAGCTCCCAAGCTGAGGGTGGAGCCTGTCCAAGCCCTGGGAGCTCCCAAAGGCTCTGCCCTGATGGAGCTCCCACCCTGAGTCTCTGTTTGCAGTCTGGCCCATTACTGCCCACCCGACAGGAGATTAACATCTCTGCCCTCCCAGAGCTCCCAAACTGATGGGAGAGATAGCGCTCAGCTCTGGAAGTTTCCAGGCTGAAGGGAGAAGACACAGCCCTACTTATGTAGCTCTCACTCTGCGGGAGAAGACTCAGGCCTATCCAGGCTGCTCCCTCGCATTCTATGGAGGAGGCCAACCCAGGTATAGAACACTAGCTCCCCTGTGGTCAGAGATGGGGCAGAGAGACGAACATCGGGCAGAGGAAGCCGAAAGCCGGTAGCAGGAGCTCTGCGAAGGGGGCGGGAAAGTTCCATGACGGAGGGGCCACCGGGACAGGACTTTGAAAAATAAATCTGAACCTGCATCGCCCCTTTCCTCTAGACTTCCTGAGGCCTCTAGGATCCCCTCGCTCCAAGACCCCTCCCTGGAACCCCGCCCCCCAGCCCACTCCATCCAAACCCCTTTACCAGTGACCCGCCCCAGTCTTCATCCAGACCCCCGCCTCAGCCGCTCCATCCAAGCTCTGTCCTCGGGGACCCACCCGATCCTCTCACCCAAGACCCCCCCCCGCCCCCAACCCCTCACCCCGCGAAGGGCCCTCCCTCCCTCCGCCTCCCTCGTCCCTACTCCCCACCCTCCGGCGCGCTCCTCCCAGGCTCTAGGCCTCACCTTGACCCGCTCCAGCTGCTTGAGGACGTGCTCTCGCCGCCGCCCTGTTGCTCGCTTGCCCCCGGTTCCCCCGGGGCCGCCGCCGCCACTCCCGGCTCCGCTGTTCCGCTCGGATTTCGAGCTGGGCGCCATTTTCACCCCCTCCCTCCACTTCCGGAGCAACCGGTCCCCTTGCCCCACCCCCGCCGCCTTCTCATTGGCTCTTTTTCCAGGCAGCGGCCCGCTGGTTGAGTGAGAGCCCGTACTCGCACTATGCCTGTCCATCAAGGCCGTCTCGGCTATTGATTGGTAACAAAGGTAACAGCCCCCACGGTCCGTCACCGTATTCCCGCCCTCCCCCACGGACGCACCAGTCAGGAGCCCTATTTGCTTTCCTCGCCCAGAAGACTGATCTTATAGGTGAAAATAGCTGTCTGTCCCAGCGGAGACACGCCCCCGTGACTGGTGGGTTTCCATGGAGACCGCCCGAGGTCCAGGCCCGAGGGTTGGGCGCTGACAACCTGTGGTCCAGGTCCAGAATCCCCACCCTAGGGCTTCCTGCGCCCAGGCTCGGTGGGCAGAGGCCTGACAATCATCCATGGGCGGCCGACCCAGGCCGAGGAAAGGGATTTCCAAAAAAAATTTAAAAAGAAAAATAGTGAGATTCGGTGAAAGCATTTTCCCTATGTGTGGGCTGGTGGAATGGTGATTATGGCGGCAGTAGCATCAATCACATACTGCTTTAAATGTGCAGAACACTGACTGAGCTTAACAACAATATAAGTAGGGCCCTGTTATGCCCGTTATACAGATGACAGTAATAAAAATGATTGTTGAATGTCCGCTGCAAGCATCCTCTTCTGAATAGTCTTAGAAATAGATTCTTTTGGGACGGCGCCTGTGACTCAGTGGGTAGGGCACCGACCCCGTATACTGGGGGCGGGGGGGTTTCAAACCCATCCCTGGCTGAACTGCAACAAAAAAAATAGCCGGGCATTGTGGCGGGCGCCTGTAGTCCCAGCTGCTCGGAAGGCTGAGGCAAGAGAATCGCCTAAGCCCAGGCGCTGGAGGTTGCTGTGAGCTGTGTGACGCCACAGCACTCTACAAATGCCTGTTGCAGTTTAGCCGGGGCCAGGTTTGAACACGCCACCCTCAGTATATGGGGCCGGCGCCCTACCCACTTAGCCACAGGTGTCACCCCTAGATTTTACTCTTAAACATAAAAGAAAACCTCTGGAAGGTTTTCAGTAGATGATGGGATCTAATATGAGATTGAAAGATCATTGTGATCCAAACAAATAAATACTCGTGAGTTTATACTGATAAATAAATGATTGAATAAATAAATGGGAAGAGGAAATACTAATTTAATAAATACAGAAGGAACGGGGGGAAAAGAAAATCACCATTAGGCATACATTACAGTTATAACAGAAACAGGCAAGATCCATCAGTGGATGCCAAAATTAGTAAAGAAAAACCGACAGGCTGGGCCCCCATACAGTGCTGGCCACATACACTGAGGCTGGAGCATTGGAGCCCAGCCAAGGCCTGCTAAACAACAATGACAACTACAACAAAAAAAGAGCCAGGTGTTGTGGTGGGCACCTGTAGTCCCAGCTACCTGGGAGGCTGAGGCAAGAGAATCGCTTAAGCCCAAGAATTTGAGGTTGCTGTGAGCTATGATGCCACAGTACTCCACTGAGGGCAACATAATGAGGCTCTGTCTCAAAAAAAAGAAAAACAGGACATTTGCCTACCCTCTGAGTTATCTCTCCCAAAATATTAATTACCAGGGGATTTTAAACATATATGCATAAATTCTTTGCTACTCCTCCCTTAAAGAGGTGGAGCTTAATTTCCCTTCTTATTTATGGGCTGAATTTAGTGACTAATATTTTTTTTTTTACTTTTTTTTTTTTTTGAGACAGAGTCTCACTTTATCACCTTTGGTAGAGTGCTAAGGCATCACAGCTCACAGCAACCTCTAACTCTTGGGCTTAGGTGATTCTCCTGTCTCAGCCTCCCCATTAGCTAGGACTACAGGCGCCCGCCACAACGCCAAGCTATTTTTTGTTTGCAGTTTGGCAGGGGCCGGGTTTGAACCCACCACCCTCGGTATATGGGGCCAGCGCCCTACCCACTGATCCACAGGCACTGCCCTTTCCAAGACTTTTTTTTGCAGTTTTTGGCCTTGTCTGGGTTTGAATCCACCACCTCAGGCATATGGGGCTGGCGCCCTACTCCTTTGAGCCACAGGCGCCACCCTAGTGACTCACTTTTAAGGAATAAAGCATTGAAAGGGGAAAAAGTAACTTGACAGTGGAGAAATCTGGAAGATACTGCTTTAAATAAGCAATTATAGGCCCCTGACATATGAAGGGGGGGACACTTGGTCGTGTCTGATATCATCCCCCAAACCTATAACCTAAATCTAATTATGAGACATTAGATGTTTGTCACAAATAGTAGGACATTCAACAAAATACCTGACCAGTATTCTTCCAAGGGCTAGAGGGCATGAGAAACAAAAAACAACAAGAAACTGTCCCAGATCAGAGGATACTAAGGAGGTGTGATCCCTAAACATGAGACAAGTTGGATGGGATCCTCAACCAGAAAAAAATATCAAGAGAAAACTGGTAAGATTCAACTATAAGTCTGTAGTTTATTTTTTAATTTATTTTATTTTTTTTGGAAACAGAGTCTTACTCTGTCACCCTCAGTAGAGTGCTGTGGTGTCATAGCTCACAACCTCAAACTCTTGGGCTCAAGTGATCCTCCTGCCTCGGCCTCCCCACTAGCTGGGACTATAGGCACCTGCCACAACGCCCACTTATTTTTAGAGACAGGGTCTTGCTCTTGCTCAGACTGGTCTTGAACCCCTGAGCTCAAGCAATCCACCAGCCTTGGCCTCCCAGAGTTCTAGGATTACAGGCATGAGCCACCATGCCCAGCTTAAGTCTGTAGTTTAGTAAATAATATTATAACAAGGTTAGTTAATCTCTTAGTTGTGACAAATTTACCATGATTATGCAAGATGTTAACATCAGGGGAAGTTGGATGAAGGTGGTTCTCAACCTTCCCAATGCCACGACCCTTGGGTCACCACAACATGAGGAACTGCATTAAAGCATCACAGCATTAGGAAAGCTGAGAACCACTGGTATAAAAGAACTCTCTGTACCATTTTGGCAGATCTTCTTTAAACCTAAAATTATTTCAAAATAGAAAATTTTTGAGGTGGGCACAATGGCTGTGCCTGTAATCCCAGCACTCTAGGAGGCCAAAACAGGAGGATCACTTGAGGCTAAAGTCCAAGACCACCCTGGCCAACATTGTAAGACCCTGTCTCTATAAAAACTACAAAACTTAGCATGGTTGGTGCATGCTTGTAGTCTCAGTTACTCAGGAGGCTGAGGCAGGAGGATCACTTGAGCCTAGAAATTCTGAGTTATAGTGAGCTATGATCACATCACTACATGCTAGCCTGACTGGTTTTTTCCTAAAGAGTGAAGGTACTCTCTCTGTCTCTAAAAGAAAAATTTTTTTTCCTAAAGAATGAAGGGAAAAAGTTTCAGGTATTAGAGTGAAAATGGAGAAAAGTGACTATATGCAGAACAAATTGGGTCATGTTCATGGACTAGATGTTGGGTCAGGGGCAAGAAGAGAGGACTTAAAGATGACTTTAGCATCTGGGTAGAATATTTAGCAAAAAGGTAGTTCTGTCTTCTGAAGTGGGGAAGACTAGAGAGAAATCCATTTGGGCCAAGTCATTTCAACATGCATATGGGGAAAAAATTCAACCTGTTTTTTCCTCTTTTTATTGAGATAGAGTCTCACTATGTCACCCTCAGTAGAGTGCAGTGGCATCACAGCTCACAGCAACCTTAAACTCTTGGGCTTAAGTAATACTCTTGCCTCAGCCTCCCAAGTAGCTGGGACTACAGGTACCTGCCACAACACCTGGCTTTTCTTTTGTTGCAGTTGTCATTGTTGTTTAACAGGCCTGGGCTGGATTTGAAGCTACCTGCCTTGGTGTATGTGGCCAGCACCCTCACCACTGAGCTGCAGGCGATGAGCCATTTTTCCTTCTATACTCACATCACACTCTCAATACTTCACTTCTGGCACCAGATGTTGGTGGCGAAATGCTTCTCCTATATCAAGCAATCCCCCAATTATTTGTGGACACCTAGTTGGTGTCTTGCAATTTAGTCCAATTCTGGCAGGATCCAACAGGTTAAGGGTTCAGTCCCACAAGGCTGTCCCTACCTCCTCCCTTCAGGTCAGTCATTTCCTAGAATGAATCACAGAACTCAGAAAAGTATTTTATTCAGTATTATGCATTTCTTATAAGAGGATACAACTCAGGGCCAGCAAGTCGGAAGGGATGCATTGGGGCAATGTATGTTTCCTGGGCACGCCACCCTCCCAGCCTCTCCACATGTTCTGCAACCCCCAAACTCTTCAAACTCTGACCTTCTGAGGTTTTGTGGAAGCTTCATTATGTAGGCATGATTGATTAAATGACTGGCTACTGGTGGGTAACTGAACCTTCAGTCCCTCTTCCCTCCCTCTGAGATTCAGGGTGGGGATGAAATTTCCAACCCTCTAATCACAGGATTGCTTCCCCTGGTAACTAGCCCCCAACCTAAGGCTCTCTAGGAACCCCTAGCCATTAGTCATCTCATTATGATACAAAAAGACACTGTACACTTTGGAGGTTCCAAAGGTTTTAGGAGCTATGTACCAAGAAATCCAAACAAAACCAAAATATATAATTTTTATTATATCACAGTAACACAACATATCTTTAGCAGGAGCCTCACATGCCTCCTGCAGACCCTAGGTCCTTGGGGATAACAAAGTCTTCCCCAGTAGTTGTTAGGAACCCAGGCGAGGTGATTTCCCAACACTGTGTCCAAACAGCTCTACTCCTACCAGCATCAGGTCCTCTCTGCCAGCTACTTCCTTACTTGGAATGACAAAACCATCAAGAGGTCCCCTTCATCTCTTTTTCCAGAACCTTGCCTATTCATACCCCAGTGCAAGAGATTTTGTATCAGTTCCTGTGTGACAACAACCCCAAATACAGCACTGTAAAAGAGCAGTACCCATTTGTCATTAGTATTTCTCATGGTCCCAAGAGTTGACTGGGCTCAGCTGGATGGTTCTCATTCCAG